AGGTGTTTTGCATCTCAGTACTTTGTATAAAATAAAGGTCTTTATCACAAGGAGTCTAGATGTGGATTGAAGTCCAGTTTGCATAGACGAAAACGTACAATTCTTTAAAATATTTTTCTGTAACAAATTTATGGACTGTGAAAAAGGAGAAACAACCCTTAGTTGTTATCAGCCTTGAAAAGTCACGAAACTCTAAGTGCTTGGCACAAAATCTATAAATCTTTTGACTCATCCTGTAACTTAATCAGAATGAAAAAACAAAACAAATAATATTATGTGGGATGACTGCTGGGCTGAATGCCTTGTTTCACTGGAATCTGTTTGCTCTTTCACATATGAAAATGTATCCTTCCTAAAAGTGATTTTTTCCCCTTTTCATATTTTTATTTTGCTAACAACCTTTGATAATTATAAAATAAATCATGTTTAAATGAAGTGTTTATCCCTCAAAGTCCTATCTATTCCTCCTACTTTCTCATATATCTATCTCAAAGTCACATGGATTTGTGACAGCACAAGCATTTCCATGACAACTGGAGACCCTTTGGCTTGAGAGGCATTTTCCCTGCTGACAGGGCATTTTCCATGACGGGCCCTAGACTTTGGAATTCATTCCCTCCTTTAGTCCGAAATAATCCAAATTAGTTGATGTTAAGGGCACACTGCAAGCCATCTCTCTTTTCCCAGACTTTTGAGGAGAAAGGAATAAGCCAAGGGCCAGGATACATATAACGAGGGTGGAGATCTGCAGCTACATTGGGACTTTTTCTTTTCTGCTTTTGGGGAGCTTCATTTATTTTTGCATTTTTAATACATGGCAAAGGCTCTTACGGTTTTCAAGAACCACTTTAAAAACATTTATGCAACTGGGAAAAAAGGAAAAATACCCTCTCCATCCCCTTAAGATTATGGATGTATTTGGTGCAGCAGTTTATGACCAGCTAATCTACCCTTCACCAGAGGTTGCCAGAGACTTTTGGACCCATATTGAAAGCTGATGCTTTCTGTCATAGATGTTACCATTCAAAGTTTGATATATCCATCCTTCATAAGAACATAAGAAAGGCTGTACCGGGTCAGATCAAAGGTCCATCTAGCCCAGGATCCTGTCTACTGACAGTGGCCAA